TTATTTCTTTCTAATGTCTTAAAGATAAGACATAACATATTTAAGAATTATTATAAAAAGTTTGTTATAAAGTAAATTAAAATATTGGTCCTTCCAGATTTTTTAAATTTAGATATAATAAAATTTTAGCCCTTTTACCAATTTTTTTTTATTATAATAATTTAAAATTGATCAATACAAAGAATATTTATGTAAAAAATTTATAATTTTTAAAAAAATTTAATTAAAATATACAGGGTGTTATGTAATTAATGTTATATATTAAAATGGGTTGTTCCTTAGGGTCCATAAAGAAGCACCTGAAACTTTTTTTTTCTAAATTCCAAAGACTAAAAATAATTTATAATATCCTTTATCCTAGGTACCAAAAAGTACGCCACTGATCGACTAGGAACTTTAAGGTCATCTGGTTGCCTAATTTAATTTATTATGTTATGGTAGGTAACCCTGATTGGTAACAACAGCGTTTTCAAATTTTGTCAAACAAGTTGACAAACATTGTTTAAATTTAGCTTAATTACAAAAATGATAAAATTAACAATGCAAATTGTCAATTTGGCGTTTTTATTAATTGTTGGTTATGTCATTTTTGTACTGAAGGTAAACTAAATCTGCCAACTTTTATGACAGAATCTTGTGCATTTCTTTCAAATTTTAGGTTATGTGCTCAAATTGTAAATATTTTAACTAAGGGAAGTGCTTTTGGATTTATTTATACAAATCAAATGTGAACTGGTCCCAGTTTCATCTGAGTAAACATAAATAAAAAAACCGAGGAAAAAATCAATTTTGTGGTTATGGATTTTTTAAAATAGGTACTAAATTAATTTTCTAATCATTGCTTAAGCTAATAGCTGGATGAGTAAATAAATTCAGAAGGGTATTAGAGCTTTAAGGGTATAAAACTTGTATTTATTTATTTTTTGCAAGAAAAATTTTTGGTAACAATTTTTTACATCTGGCAACGCGCAGCTACTTTGTTGGTTGGTATCCATGTACTCACAGAACACAAGTGTGCAGAGATAAAAAGTGTGTAACCAGTGGCGTATCACAAAAAATATAAAAAACTTCTAATGCCTATTTTTTCTTTATCTTTGGAAAAAGATTTTTTTAAATATTTTTCATTTACTCCTTATGTCAAAAGGTATTCAGTATTTTAATATATAACATTAATTACATAACACCCTGTATATTTCGTAAACAAGTTTATAATCCAAAATATAATAGAACATATTAAACAATACTGTTTTTAACATTAAAAATGTCAAAGATTTTAAATTAGTTATCGATGTCCTAAATCGTTTAATTTTCACGTTGTTTTAATTCAATTTTCTCTCTGTCACTTTCAGGCTAAAGTGCCATGGACACACGTGTCATTTTTAAATAACAAATAAGGGGAAACAATTTACGTAGAATCTTTTTACTTTATTTGTAATATAATACGTACGTACGTTGTGCACAAAAAACAGGGTCGGCTTTAGTAAGTTTTATAGAGAGATTTTTCTTCCACTTTTATTAATTAAAATTTATAACAAAACTTCTTTCAAAATACAATATTGCAGTAAAATATTTATAATTAAACAAAAAAAAATGGAAAATCAGTAAAAATAGGTATAAAGACATTTTTTTACATTTTTACTATTGGATTTCCCAAAATAAATAATTTTTGAGATCATTTTTTAATAAATTTTTTCAATTCACACTTTTATTTATAAATACACATTGCTAAGTTGTGGCTTCATGGCGTTTTAGTCACGGCCTAAAGTTAGCAACAGGTTTTTAGTCCCGGGTGAAGTTAGTTTTAAGTTAGTTGACAATTGTCAAATGTCATACAATCATTAAAATAAAGTGCCTTTCTTGTAAAATAATACTAAATGTGAAAATTATTTTATTATCTCAATACAAAAATACAAAAGTATTAAATAGTTTCTCAACGCCAATATTTGAAAAGTTTATTTGAACATTGTACTGACCTTTTAATTTCGCCGGCAGTAAACTATAAGTTAAATTCGGGAACGTACTCCACTGTAAAGTCCTCATAAAACATTTTCTTTACTTTCACTGTAAAAAACTGTAAATTTTTAAGAAATACATTTCGATTTATAACCTTTATTATCTGGGTTTATAAAATTTAAAAATGTGACATTTGACGGTGACACACAGATTCCCCTATTGTTTCATAGATGGCGCTCTATACAAATTTTTGATTTAAATGATTTTAAGATAATAATAAGTATTTGCCGTAGAAAAAGTATAGTATGCACCTCGTTTATAAACTTTTCTAAACTCATTAATTTAAGCTCGCTCGTGCCTAAATTAAATTCGTGTGTAAAATGGCTTTTATCAAACTTGATACATAATATACTATTGTGCTTTAAATCCAAAAATGTTATGATAAAACACGATTAAAACGTTTTTAACAAATTTGGTAAATCTTTTTTATTTATTTTACTATTTAATGAGGATTTTCAAAAATATATAGTTTTTTCATTTTTAATAACTCAAAAAAAAAACAAATTTGTATGATTTTTATAACCTCAAATTATTATTACCTACTATTTGTATGTTTTTTAAATACAAATTACTTTTTCCAACAAGGTTGGAAAAGTTATTTTATTAATTTTACTCTCTTTTGATGATCGACTTTTCAAGATTTTTTTATAAAATATTAATTTTATACCTAAAATTTTATTTGGTCAAATTTTACTTTAGATATTTGGTATCACAGTAATTGGTTTGACAGTTAATGTCAAAATCGATTCGCCATGCCGTCCTTAATTTACTTATTTACAATAGGCGGCTGTTAATGTTAAAGAAGAAAAAAGGATTTTCTTTGGTGTCAAACAAAATTTATTGCCAGAAGTAAGTACTAGAAAAATCATAAAAATATTATATCCAATATGCAAAATATTATGCTGTTTAAAGTATAGCCAACCTATAAAATCAATATTTTTGGTGTAATGAGATACAGCACCGAAAGCGGTGTTATAATGAAGTCATTATGAATGCAAAAAAGATAAAAAGTATTTTTTAAATGTAATGTTATCATATTATGACAAAAAGAAACTTAACCCGACACTGCTTTGACAAACGTCCAGTTAATTAAATCTTTCCTTAAACAATAGTACATAAAGCATCTGTATGTCACACACTGGAAACATGTGTATTAAAATAGGGCATAGGGTTGTAAATGGCATATTATCATACAAAAGTATATACACCTATTATAATAGGTCCCTAAAATAAAGAAATAAGTTTTGAAACAATATTGTTTATAACAGGTGCATTTCAATAAAATTCTTCTTAACAATCCCTAAACCCATACTTATTTATTAATTACTTACCTTTTATAGCAATCATTATTATTTATAATGTTAAACAACTAATAAAATAAATTATAAAAATAAAACTAAATGTTTGCTATATAATATATTTATTGATATTTGTAGCTATTATAACAATATATCAGTACAGAAACACATTAATATAATGTTTTTAGCAATACAATAATACGCTGCTCTAAGAATTAAATGCACCACAAATTCGTGTCTAAAATGACGTTTATCAAACTTGATACATAATATACTATATAGTTAAGATAATTTAAAAACAGTTTTTGTAAAAATACAATTAGTTTCAGGATTTTAACGTATATATAATACCCAAAGTGGTGCGTTAACTTCTTGGAGCAGTGGATATATTTCTGCTATATTTGTATTTTACTAAAAGTAACATATTTTTTATTTTATAATTCTCTAAAATTCTATTAAGTAATTTATGAAGAAGGAACATATAAATATTGGTCTAATTGTAAGTATTTAAGAAATGCTTTACAATACAAATAGAGAAACACCAAACATAAAGTTAATAAAATATAATTATAAATATTGTCCTATATTATTTTCTTAGTTAGAATTTTAAAATAATACATTATTATTTTCAACCTTAAATCAATAAGTAAGTTCATAACAATTAAATAAATTATTTAAGTCGGTTTCAAGTATTGAGTAGTATAGTTTTAGAATTGTTCTAAGGTATACAATCTAGATTAAGTAGGTCCCAAGAATAACAGCAGTATGCAGAAAGGATTGTTATATTTGCTGGGTCAATGTATTTTTAAACCACTGTTTTTAATAAGAATGTGTTATCAGATGGTAAACCAACAAACTTAACTACTCTTTCTGCATATGTCCATATATGTAATGCTACATACAATTTTGATTATAAAATCAATATTTTCATATATTATAATTATTTTTAACCCATCCTTTGTTCCTTTTAGTTTTATTACACATGTCATTTAACTTTAACTTTAAAATTTCCAATGGAACACCCTATTTTCAATTGCAGATTAGGATCATTCGACTAAAAATAGGTAAATTTTGTCTAAAACATTTTTTCATATTTGTAATAGATGACATTGTAATTTAAAAATTTTGTTCAATTTTTCTTCTTATACGATTCTGCAAGAATTTTTCTATAAAGATATCACTTTTTTGCTAATAATTATCTTATTAAAGTAAATTTGATTTTTTGAAGTACCCACGATTTTTTAACTAATATTTAAGTTTCCTTTGGTTTAAGTTTTATACATTATTTTTACCTGCCAGCATTAAATCCTTTAATTTAAAGGATTATTTTTAATGAAAATACCTCATTTAAAAAAAACATTATTTTGTCAATTAATTAATTTAATCCTAATTGAGGTATACAAAATGGTATTTAGTTATGAATAATAATTATTATTGAGGTATAAAGAAACTATTTATGCATAGTTTAGCATTATTTAATCAATTTAGTTCGAAAATTAATTTGCAAACAAAAAGACCTCCTTTCGTTAAGCAGTTATTCATAATGGATTTTTTAACAGTGGAAGAAAAAATAGAAATGATTTTGATTTATGGAGAAGCAGGCAGGAATCTTGATGATGCTGTTAGTATCTACGCTCAGCGTTTTCCGAAAAAAATTCGATCACCTACTTCATTTCACCGTTCAGTCAAGCAGTTTACTACAAACGGGAGTGTTCAACCGAAAAAAAGAGTTAAATAAATAAATAAATAAATTTAAAAAAACAAGTGTTTTATTCAAAAATTATTGGAGAATCGTATACAGAAGAAAAATTGAACACTAACACTAACTGAGACATTTCAAAGTTTCAAGTTAAATGACACCCTGTATATATACAATATTTATTAAATATAGGAAAAAAGTAAACAGGATGTTATCATAAAGGGGAAACAAAAGAATGGGTCAAGATTTGGTCCTAGTTTTTTAAATACGTTTCTAGATGTTTTAAGTTAGTATATCACAATATAAATATGTTCTATAATTTCTATTTTTAACATTGATAAATACATATTTGGTTATTTAAATTGTACAAAAAGGATGGACTCGTGTCAAATTTTGACTCATACAGTCATATTGACTAAAAAGAAGAAAATAGTTATGATAGGGTGTCAAAAAATATTAAAATTGATGTTAAAATTGTAATGCGTATAAATCAAAAAATTGTGTTGTCCAGAAAGGACATACAAAAGTAATTAATAGTAAAACATAAGTTAAACAATAAATTCACTGTATTTTTGACACCCCATGTAGTAAAAAATATCATTGTTCATTACAAACATCTTGTCATAACTCGCCATAAGAAAGCCCAGCCAATAAATAATCAGCAAATAAACAGCGTAAAAACGGAAAACTCGGCGTTACTATAGGAAACTAAAGCAAAGTTGAGGAAAAGGCTTTTGTTTGTCGTGACACCTCTAAAAGCCTCGCACTTGATCAAAAAGTTTACACGGCATGTACTGAGCACACAAGACAAAAGATGTAAGTGATGTGAGACCCACTTTATTTAGAAGCAAGAAACAAGTAAAAAATTGCAAGGATATTTAAAAGAACATGTTTTTGCGTGATATAATCTTAAATCATATTGATTTATTTTGGGTTTTCAAGCTTTATTTAGGACGTATAAGTATAGTGAAGCTTTAAGGATTTTGGTCCTATATACACAGTACATTTTGTATGTTATTTGCTTTTCAAAATTTTAATCCGAAAAGCTTGGTATCAAAACCAAACGTATATATCTTATCTTTAACAAAAATATTTTGTACCCAATTTTAGTAAATTTGTTATTAAATTAAAATTTGTTATTAAAAAACTGATTATGAATTTTTTACTTTCTTTAACAGCCATACATTTTTTCTCAATGATGTGGTAAGTAATTTTTACGAAAGAAAACCATATTTGATGTGGAACATTTTTAAGGTTAAAGGTGGTTTAAAAAAGTATTAATAAGCACTTATATAAACTTATAAAGTGAAAAATAATATTTCTGTAAGAGGCCATATTAAATTGTAAAATATTTCCATGACACTAAGTGACCTTTTAAATACACATTGACAAGTTGTGGCTTTATTGCACTTTAGTCACGGGCTGAAGTTAGCAACAGGTTTTTAGTGACGGGCTGAAGTTAGTTTTAAGTTAGTTGACAGTTGTCAAATGTCATACAAACGTTAAAATAAAGTGCCTTTCTTGTAAAATAATACTAAATGTGAAAATTATTTTTTTATCTCAATACAAAAATACAAAAGTATTAAATAGTTTCTCAACGCCAATATTTGAAAAGTTTATATGAACATTGTACTGACCTTTTAATTTCGCCGGCAATAAACTATAACTTAAATTCGGGCACGGACTCCACTGTAAAGTGCTCATAAAACATTTTCTTTACTTTCACTGGGGAAAACTGTCAATTTTCAAGAAATACATTTCGATTTATAACCTTTATAATCTGTGTTTATAAAATATATGTGACATTTGACAGTGACACACAGATTCCCCTATTGTTTCATAGATGGCGCTCTATACAAATTTTTGATTTAAATCATTTTAAGATAATAAGTATTTGTCGTAGAAAAAGTATAGTATGTACCTCGTTTATAAACTTTTCTATACACTCATTAATTTAAGCACTAGCTCGCAAGCCAAATTAATTGCATTTTTAACTACGAATTTTGACAACTTAACCAAACCCCTAAATTTGCAACGTTGCCGCCGTTCAGATAAAAAAAATTAACTTTACATAATCTTAAACAGTTACAAAAATGGCGGATGCGCCGGGATACTAAAAAATTTCAACAATGATATTTTTTACCACAAATGGCCGTATGCACAAATAGAAGTTAAAATTTGTTGGCTTGGCAAAGCCTTTGTGCACAAGACCGTTTATAAAACAATCACAAACGTTTAACCTTTAGTTTACATGATATGCCGTTAAAACGTTTAGTTTTTTTGCTTTAAGCAGACAAATAAATTTTATGTCTCTTATAGATTAAACTTTAAAGCTAAAAGATTTATCGTTCAGATAAAAGGCTTGCTTTTTGGGATTAGATGTAATAAATTATCAGGATTTTTTTAATATAATAGTACGATTGAGCGATATAATGCGTAAATTAAATAAGAATCAAGTTTATTTTTGACAGTGTTGCCAGATTTTTTTTAATAAGAATATGTAACTTGGATTCTTATTCTTTTAACGCAAAAATAATTAAACAAACTATTTTGTGCCAACTTAAAACAAAAATATTTAATCTTACCTTTTAAAGTTCTGTATACGAAAATACAAAAAATACCTATAAAAATCGATTTTTTCATTTAGACGTCTGAGCTTTTAAGTCCCTGCAAAAGTGGAGCAGTTATTCGGGTTTCGTCGAGATAGATGAAAGTAGGCGACGACGGTCGGTCTTCTTCGGGAATCGAACACCGGCGCTCGAAGCTAGACGAGCTCACGTCAAGACTGTTAGAGGACCGCTCGTGCGTCATTTTTTTACCTGGCGGTTGCTCGAAGCTGCGCGAAATTTTCGGGCGGGCGATCACGGAATCTCTTCTGGGAACCTTGAAAAACGCAGTAAAAAATATTTGTTAATTTTAATCAAATATTAAGCAGATTATATGTTAATTCAGGTCAACAAAGCTTTATAGGCATTTTTTCGCGTAAATACCATGAAATATATACTATGGTTATTAAACTTAACCTTGGTTAATAGTTAATGTATTTTCGCGTTTAGAGTGCATTCCAAAATCTTAACTATGACGTCACATTTACTAGACGCTAAAACTACCTCGGCAAGCTGGTTAATAGTCTATCTCTTTCTAATGTGTATATTTCTTTATTTTAATCTGTCAAAAATGTTGTTTTAATGTCAAAAAATAGGTAACACACTTTTTTATATTGTTTTAATGTCAAAAAATAGGTAACCACACTTTTTTTATATTGGGCGTGATTGGCTACAAGTGACGCGTTTCTCGGAAAAACATCATTAGTCCAAAATTAACATATTTGGGAAAATGAAAAAACTCTCCGACATTCCCATTTTTGACCAAAGTACTTTATTGACCTATTTACTACATGGAAAATGTAAGATACTTTGTCCAGAATTCCTCATGTTTTTTTTTTCAAACGAATATGAAAAAAACACAAAAAATACATGAACATGTGAGGTTTTTAGAAGAAAAAAACGAACAATTCTCCTTACTACAAACACTACAAACTAAATATTAACTCTGAGCAACAAAATAAATGAAAAAACTAAAAACTGTATTATGGCCACACTCAGTATTCGCATCCACTGCTGTTATCATCGTTGTCGACCGTGTTATCAGGAATGTCAGGTGCTATGGTCTTCTGGTCTTTTATCAAGTTATCATAAAATTTTCTATTGCTGTGGTCATGTAAAAGAGGTAGAAGCTTTTCTAGAGTGTCCAAAAACGTCACATGTTATGCACATGTGACTTTCTTAGACGAAACGGAGTGGACTTATGATGTTTTTAGAAGAACAAGCTAAATTTCATATTTAATTATTATGGAACCTATGACATTTTTACGAGAAACACTTATTTGTATACGTATATATGGAGGTTAGGAAACAGTTGGTGCTAATATCTAAATTTCGACGATATTGGACTAATGATGTTTTTCCGAGAAACGCCTCAAGTGTTACGTCATGGATTTTAATCAGAATTTCCAAGGTGGAAATTCTAGGTTATAAAGTTTATAAACATCAAAAGTTACATTTGAAATGACAATCAATAACCGTGGTTAAACGAATTAACCGTGACGTCATAACTTTTTTAACTATAGTATTTCGTGGTAATTACGCGAAAAAACGCCTACAACCAACTGTTATATGTTAACTAATTGAATAAGTACTTTGTAATTATATCAAACATTTTGATTACAAAATTACCTTTACAAAACATTCGGTAAAATATGTTTGTTTGTTAAAATAATTACAAACCATATTTTCAAAAAAAAAAAATAATGTTAAAATTATTCAAAATAAAATTAAAAAACTAGGGTAAAGTAGACAGTTATCGGAAACTTTATAGTTATTGGACAATTAACATTAATACTGTAAAAACAAGAGTTCTATAAATAGTTACATTAAAGTCAAATCATTGGATATAACTACTTTATTTTGGGTCCAATATAGGACAAAAAAGTTCGCACGATTTTTGTTTTTTGTTAAGAGCAGGGCTGTGTTTAAATTACAAGAAAAAATATTTCTAAAAAGTGTACAGATCAGTGTGTGGTATAAATGTGTTTCTCATGGTTTAAACATTGTCACTTTAATGCGTTTTAATTTTAATTCTGAAAACAAACAGTAAAATGGCCATTGTCCAATTACTGGTTGGTAAAAAATGTTAATTTCTATTGTTGGACATATGTCCAATATCATGCTCTATTTATATCCCGGGCATTTACCAGCCAATTCTTATGTAAAATTCGAAAAGACCATCAAAAACTATAAGAGTTAAGCAATTTTTGAGATATAGTCAATTCCATATTATTGTAAAATTCATTATATTTCAAAAACTGTTTTAATTTTGACGCTATAACATTTTTGACTCATTCATTTTTAGAGAGTAATATAGTGATTTCTTCGTCACAGGAGATCTTGCAAAATAACAGTGATTTAAATACAGTGCATGATAGAGAACATAAAAAACAAATGGCAACAAAATTAATAAATTCGGAAAATACTTTTAACATACCACCCAAAAAAATATTAGATAAATCATCCTGTTCCGGCCTAAACATTATAAATGCTAGAGATACCACACTTAATGATATTTGCAACAAACTATTTCAGAAGTCAGACCAAGGAATTAGTAGTTACCTTTAGAATCCAGAAAAGGGATGAGGAATCCGAGAAAGAAATATATGAATTATATGATATTTACAAAAAAGAAATAAAAAAATTACCTAAAACAGCAATTTATCTATAAAAAATATTTAACAATTTATGTTATTTGATGTAAAGTTGTTATGTTGATATAAACATTGTATGTCCAATAACTATGGTCCATGTGTCCAATTACTATTTGAATGTCCAATTACTATACTTTTTTGCATATTTTTATGACAATATAATTCATTAATATTAGAACCAATAAAATGCCAGTATTCCATAGTGACGTATTTTATCACAGCGGCAATAATTTTTATCATCTTGTTTACACGTTACTATGAACTTTGACGTTTTTTTGATTTGACATTTGTTGTCATTTAAATACTGTGTTTGTTACCTAAATGATTAAAATAATGAATTATAAACTCTAAAAGATCGATGGGTTGGTGTAAACGATAATAAAGTTAAGGTAAGTTTGAATAAATAAGGTTTATTAAAGTCTTTTTATATTTTAAAGCACATTTTAATTTCAAATGTCAAACTAAAAATTCGTTAAATCCTAAAATTCATTATATTTTCTCACTAAATATAACTCGTGGTATGATTAATTATCGATGATATTTACTCATTAAAACCGAAGCAGCACAAATCTGCAGCTCGGTTTCAATTCGAAAATATCATCGATGATAATCATACCACTAGTTATATTATGGGTGAAACTATTATTAAAAATTTAAATATTCTTACTTTTAAGTAAACGTAAAAAAAATCTTTTTTATATATTTATAAGAAATAAATTAAAATCTTTTAAACAAATATTACTTACTTCTACAACTATAGAAGACTCTACCGATTCCATTGGCGACTCGAAACTAATAGTAGGCTGTTGAAAACTGTTCGGGTAACTAGCTGAGGGTCGTTCCCCATATTTTTTTTCGATTTTTGGATGCTCAAAACTGGCGAAATTTCGGTGATTTTGCGATGAAGCGCACCCTACAAAACACGAAGATCTACGAGGCCTATGGATCATGACTGGGGGTCGTTCAATAGATATAGATGGTCTGCAAGAAACGTTTTTTTAAATATTATTTTAAAGCTGTTTGTAATAAATTTGATTTTTATAGTTTTCTTTGGGTTTTTTTATATTTATGTTATGTTATAAATTGCCTACGTCATACATAAAAATTATTCAGAATTTTAAGAGCAATAAGTTTTGTTGTAAGCATTTATGAATTAGGTAAAAGGTCTAGCTGAGAAATTCACATATTTAGATGTTTATAATTGCCATGTGGTGGACTTCAAAAGCATTGCGTGAATTTAAGAAGTGTCAACAATACATTTAAAGCATACGAACTGTACATCATTTTTAAATAAATAGGTCGTTTTTTCACAAAACAGACTTACTCGACAAATTTCATTCAATTGCACAGCTAAATCTCGCACGTTATCTGTGTTTTACGTTGCAAGGAAAAAACTAAAAAACTGGTTTAGTACTCGATTTCGATTGATTATTCTTTATATCATTGATTAAGAAACTCAACGCTTAAATGCTTATATAGTTACGTCAGTGTGTGTATTTTATCTAAGGGATCATGGTGAATTATTATGTTTTTAATTGGAAATAAAATTCAATAACTAAATCGTTGCATTTTCATGTTTTGCCAAAGGATCCAATTCGGTAAGTACATTTGTTGGTGCAGAATTAACTAATGATTACTTTACCTAATATAATTTATATTTAAGTTTGGACATTTTTAGGAATTAGTAGAAAATAATTTTTGCACAAACATAACCTTAAAATCAACCATTTTTATGTTTGAGTTCTCTAAAAAAACGCCGAAAACTGCATTTTAAAAAACAAAATATACCTACGAATTCATGGCAACATAATTTTATATAAAATACATAATATGTTATTTTACCGTTGAGTAGACTTTAAAGAATTCTTAATCAAAGCTTTTAATAATGCTAAATGCTGTTTAAATTTAGACGACTTATTTGTTTGACGATTATTACTGAATTGAAATGATTACACTTTTCACGTTAATCATTACTAAAATATGTATTTATTGTATCTAATAGATACAATATATATTTACAGGGACTGTATGAAATTTATTTCCTAATTCGGATTAACACTGTTTATTGGAAAAAAAATATTGTTGTTAATCTTACCTATGTCGGTTTATAAATATAGGTCGATCTATGGTGATGGATGGGCTTCTTCTATCTCTATTAATAATTGGAATTATAGAACCTGAAATAATAAAATAGAATTCAACGAAATACTAAAAAAACTAAAAGATCATAAAAAAATATAAAACAAAGGAAACAAAGCTTTATACCACAAACTAAATTAATTTTGTATAAAATTCCCAAAAGAAAATTAATTAAATAATAAAACTAGATAGTGGAAGATTTTCAAAGGAAAACCACACAAGTTCAGCATTAATTTGTTTCCAGCAAGTCATTTGTTTGTCCTGTTTATATCGCAAATAATTTCATTTGTAGTTAATTTACCTTCAAATAGATGGCGTGCTATAATTAAATTGCAGCCGTATTTTGTTGACTTTCATTTCCATTATTAACTCTGACAAATTTCGAAAATTAACAAATACCAAATAAATAAAAATGTCTAGTTTGTCAGGGGTTTTAACTTTAATTATTTATTACGGGATTTTTACTAAATTTTGTAAAATAGTTTTCAAAGAAATATCTCTCATTATTTTTTTAGCACAGTTTTTAGTATATTAGGGTAAACCATATAGTTATTGGACACTTAAGGAATATTATTTATTTAAAATTTATATATGCCGTTGTTTTAAAGATTTTAGTTTTTTCTTATAAATATATAAGGATAGTTTGTTTGTTTACGTTTACTTAAAAATAAGAATACTTAAATTTTTAAAAATAGTTTAATAAAAACATGCAATACAGTAATTGGACATACACTTTTTATATAAACATAACAACTTTACATCAAATAACATAAATTGTTAAATATTTTTTAAAGATAAATTGCTCTTTTAGGATTTTTTTTGTTGCAAATATCATTAAGTGTGGTATCTCTAGTTTGTGAAGCATTTATAATGTTTAGGTCGGATCAGGATGATTTATATATATCTAATATTTTTTCGGGTATGTATTTTCTGAATTTATTAATTTTGTTGCCATTAGTTTGTTATGTTCTTTATCATGCACTGTATTTAAATCACTGTTATTCTGCAAGATGTCCTTTGACGAAGAAATCACTATATAACTTACTCCCTTAAAATGAATTGGTCAAAAATATCATAGCGAAAAAGTATCCACTAATAATTCTCGTCAAGAACAATTTGTATCCAGGACATTTAGCAGTTAATTCCTTGAAATATTATTCGCTGAATCGGAAAATGTCGTCAAAAGTTATAAAAGTAGAACAGTTTTTGAAATATAATCAATTTTACATATAATATGGAATTGACTATATTTTAAAAACTGCTTAACTTTTATAGTTTTTGACGGTCTTTTCGGATTCAGAGGACAATTTTACATAAGAATTGGCTGGTATATGTCCGGGATACAAATAAAGCATGATATTGGACATATGTCCAATAATAGAAATTTACATTTTTTACCAACCAGTAATTGGACACTGGGCATTTTACTGTTTGTTTTCAGAATTAAAATTAAAACGCATTAAAGTGACAATGTTTAAACCATGAGGAACACATTTACACCACACACTGATCTGTTCACTTTTTAGAAATATTTTTTTATTGTAATTTAAACACAGCCCTGCTCTTAACAAAAAAACAAAAATCCTACCACCAAATTAACGTGCGAACTTTTTTGTCCTATATTAGACCCAAAATAAAGTAGTTATATATATATTACCGACTGAGATATTATAATTGTCCAATAACTATAAAGTGTCCAATAACTGTCTACTTTACCCTATATAAATATTATATCATATAATGCTATATGATCTTTTAATATAAACTACCTTAACAAAGTGAAAATCTACACAAAACTAAAAAGTGATAAATAAATCTTTACACACGTATGGCTACTTAATTCAATTACCAAGATAACAAATAATCAAGCAAAACTTATCACAAGACTCTTATAACAAAACTTAACGCTAAAGCTTAAGCTCTTTAAAATGCCAAATTTTACCCAACTCCTAAATGAAATACGCAAAGTTAAATCACGCCGCGGTTTTATTATAATTAAGCTAAACTAACAAGAATTAAAACTCGTCCCAAAAATTGTCTCGTACGTAAAATTATGCCAAATGTCTGGAAAGTTTAATTTGTGGGCGATAAAATGTTAAATACAAAATTCCGTGTGACCTATATAACCTTTTTTATGTAATTGATGTAATTAATATTTGGTAACCTTAGCATTTGTGTTATTGTTTTTCATAACAATTGTTTCGTTTAAATGTCAACCCTACATTTCATAATTTCAAACGAATGACAATTTTCTTATAATATAACACTATACAGAAAGACTTAATATTTGTACTTTAACAAATTTTTAGGGTAACAATATTATATATTCGTCAATACAATATTAAGATTGTAATACAAAATACTATTTTTTATTATACAATATTACTAAATCATAAATGTATAATATATATTTTAATTTTTAATATGTTCGTATAGTAAATTGATTTTACTATCTACAAATAGTAATATTTAGTATATGATTTAATCAAATGTAAGGTGTACATTTAATATTATAATATATTACACATTAATAAAAAATATAGTAAAAATAAAGATACTTTTATGTTTAAAGTAAATAAACAATATATTTAAATATAATATACAATATAGTAACTCATGACATTTAAAACATTCAATTTTCTTAGTTTCTTCAATAAACTTTCTGGACCCATTACTGGTAATACTTATAAGAAAGAATTGAACCTACTTGGTTGCATAGTATGTACCGATTGCGGCAAAGGCCACGTCGCGACGCGTCGTTAGACGGTGTTGATCACGTGATGTTCTTACATCTCGCCTCTGTTGGCTTTCCAACCATGTTATATAAGCTCAGGTATTTCTTTGTTTTGGGTGTGTTCCACTACTACAAGTTGCTCGTCAGTGTCGTGTCGACACTGATGATACCCAATATAGGTCAAAACACCTGTCTGTCGGTATTTGAAGTTGATGAAACGCACTCAAAACAAAAAACTTTGGCGAGGTTAAGGTTCAATTCTTTCTCATAACATTTTTGTATAATAAATATGTTACAATTTTTAATTGTTAACATATAAAAATATTCGATTTTAAAATATTTTATATTTAAAATGGCAACATAATATTTTAATATTTACTATACTTATTAGTAATGGAAAAAATCTAATTATAATAAGAATTAAAAACAAAATTGGTGGAGAATAATAATATTTTACCTTAAGGTTTAACATGGATATTTAAAAATTACTAAATATGCATAGCATCTGGCAATATACAAGATAGTTGTCCCAAATAGTAATATAAATTATAGTAAAGGGTATTATAGTTATGGTAATCAGCATTATACTTTTCTCTCCATGTAAGACAAGTGTTGCCCAACATATACTTGATGATGGTCTTAGAATAGGATTTGACAACCTTAAACTTACTAGGGAACCAAGTCTGCTAGATAGTTACGAAAGTTATTAGTATAAACTAAAGTTAAGGCATATTTTTTCCTATTATGAACCCCATCCTCTTAGTTAAGCTTAATGGTACCATTTTTTTAATTTAAAACCTACATTCCAGACTACCAAATCTAGTGCTGTGTTAGGATGCAAAAAATTGGTGTAAAAGTGCTCGGATACCTTTTCTCATACCTGTTAGCGAACTGCCCATCGGATGCTCGTTCACTAACAAATGCTGGATGTCCACCGCCGACTTGACTCTTCTTGGGGGCGGATTCAAGATGGTCATGGTGGAACCCACGAAAACGCTGTTTCTTCGCGGTTTTCTTATGATGGGGGAGGGGAGGGCGGAGAGGGGGTCAGTCAATGCGTTCACGTTGTATTTGGAGAAGGACATGCGTTGCTGGAAGGAAGCAGAAGATACTTTTTAGATGATTAATACTGGAAATAAGTTTATATACCTCTAATGTTCTCCTAAAACATGTACAAGTTTTTCTATTATCCAAGACATTTTGTGAATACCTACCTATGTACACAAAACAACTATCCTTCTATGTATGAGTACCTTTTTTATTTAAATAGCTTTCAAGAATCTTGAACTTTTAGTAGTACCTTCTTCTACCTTCTATCTTCTTCTACCAACATCAACCCAAGAAAGAAAATATTTTAGCGATTGTGATATTCTTGAAATTAGTGCCAATGACATTGATGAAGGCACATCAACTTAAATAACTACTAGGTAATAGTGCTGATGTCGGTTCTAACAGATTCAAAAGAAAGTCCAAATCCAATTTAATATTCAAAATGAAGATTCTAAAGATAAAAAGTTTGATTTAATCGTCTATTTAAACAAACTGCGCAAAAAGCAAGAAATAGAAAAATAACCCTGGAAAAATAGTCCAGAGGAGGTTATACTGGATTGGTGGAAACGTATTTAGCTTTTTACCTATTACAATTGTAATTGGGTCATTCCACGTTACTCGGGGATTTTTGTCCCGCCCGTCACAATTAAAAATTGTGAGTAAAAACTACACGTTATAAAATTTATTTAAAAATATTGTTTTATTATGCTTTTAATAAGTTATAAGCACAATAAAAATAATATTATAAAATATTAATTTTATAACTTGTGGTTTTTACTCACAATTTTTAGTTGTGACGGGCGGGACAAAAATTACCGAGTAACGTGGAATGCCCCAATTTTACTACAGTAACTGTTGTACACAATAAATCATATCAATTAATCATACTGTAGCGAGTACCGCTCTGGATCTCGGAATGATGACTCATCGCCGGTGAGTCAGCGCTCGAGCTCGCTGTTATATTCGGGAAGGCACGTAGGCACTGAATATATAAGGAACAGCGCAGCATAGAGCAGTTAGTCAAGTTTTGGTACTCGCGACGAAATAAATAAATATAAGTGCAAATAAATAGACTCTTGAACAGTAGTAATATTTAAAAAATTAGTAGTTAAGTGTTTAGTTAATTTTATAGTTTCTTGGTGTTTTAAGTTGAGTTTATTAATAAACCAGTGCGTGTTTTAACTCACACTACGAACAGTAAAAACGTTACAATACTACTCATCAAATAAAAAATATACCCAGACATAGAAGGATACTCGGAGCACCCTGTATAAATTATAAATTTATTATTTTATAATAAAAGAATCTCCAAGAATAAACTTTCTGTTGACATTGTCGCCATTTGTATTTACTGCATAAAATGATACATTTTCTGTAATTTTATTATTTTAATTAAATTAATTTTCAGGTCTTTTTTACCAAGTTAACATTAAAAATAACTTTTATTACAGATGAACGGTGTACACAAAGGTTACAGTAACGTTTGAAATGAAAATAAAGTTTTATATTAATGATAAAAAATGTAGCATTATAATGCTTACTGAAACATTCTTTAAAAGGTTTTATTATTGTTGTTTTGAAAAAACAAACACTCTAAATGTTGGCAGTCCAAAAAGGTCACAAATGTCACTTTTAATTTAAACCCTCCATCTTGCTTAAATTTTAACGCTGATAAGATTTATTACGTAGATTTTAAAACGTCTGCCTTGCTTAAATACGAATAAATGTCCCAAATTGCGAAACTTAAAAATTTAAATTCGTTCTTTAAATCTTTAAAATATATTTATATGAATGGATAAAAATATACATATGGGTGAATCTCACGAAATTTTGTTACCTCGTGATATTTAATAAAACTAAATGAGTTTGACCTACACTTTTATTGTGTTTTGATCTTTCATAATTAAGTAGATATTACAGCTCAGGTTCCAGATTTTTAACCGCAATTAATTATTTTTTACAGTGTTTTAAAAGTTTAAAACCTATCCTCCGTGACTGTTACTCTTTCTAGGTTACCCTATATGTTTTCAAATATCTGAGGTAGTAAAAGCATACTAAAAATCAGTTCACTAAGTAAATTAAACACATCCAAAGAATCTAATCAAATATAAAATATTATTAAAAATTTAAAAAAATAATTTTTATAATCATTTATGTAGGTGTTACAAAAATTGATTCTATCCTCCGTGAATCTGTTTTTGCTTTAACAACGGATGGCGCTTTAATCATTTTAAATAAGCAAAAACCTCTGTTTACGACATTATAGATGCATGTGATTCCTGAAGGTCAGTAAGAATTTATATGCAGATGAGAGTGTTGCTGTTTTATAATTCAAAAGTATAAGTTCATTAATTTGCTCTTTAAAAACCTATCCACCTTAAAGTGTATTATCTTAGTAAGTACATTTTTTTATAAATATTTAATGTATGTACAATTGTCTTTTTAAAAAATATTAAGGTGTCAAAAGATACAATACAAAATGTATGATTTCATAAAATTCTTGCATTAGTGCAGAACCACTTATGTTATGTTATTACTTCTTTGGCAGATTTAATACACACTAGGTAGGTACATTTGAAGCGATTTAATTTGCTTTCCTACGTGGTGTGAAAATGCGAAATCCTCGGGAGACATAAATTTACATTTTCTTAGGAAAGTATATTCATAAAGTAAAAACATCTTTTGTTAACTGTCTGGAATAGAAACAATGTTGAGTAGAGTCGATTTAAGTCGCTGTTTACGAGTGGTTTAAGTGGTAAAAACGGAAGATGCACTTTGGGATAAAAACACGATTTTAATACATTGCATTGCATTAACCACAATTTCTAATGATTTTAAATATCTTGAAAAGAAACCAAAGGACTTTAAAAACGAATACACTAAAATGTAGGAATGTGGAATTTAAAAATTGTAGGGGTAACCATCACCCCCGCTTAAGGGTTGATGTAGGGTTAAAATATAAAAATTAATTGCCCTTTAAAATAAAAAAAAATGTGTTTTGAGATAACGGGTGGAAACTTTTGTTTCTCTCATATCTCTAAAATTATCTATTTTGCTATATTTTGTCAGGTTTGACGTTTGACATATGTTATAGGTTATGTACATGAATTTATTTTACAGTTCGAAATAAACGCGATAGATGGAACCACTTTTCCTACCTAATTTCCTATGTAAGTATTTTCATTATTTTACAGCGGTGTATAATATGAAGGTTTTCTATATATAAAAATTGTTATACGCTTTTTTACTTTCAGAAATTTACTTTTGTTTCGTGAAATTGTTTTAATTAACCTTTAACTTTAACTGGCGTGACTTTTAATACAAACAGCAAATGAAAAATTTTAATCTATTGCAAACCTCAATGGATTTAAGAATTAATAAAGCAACTTAAATTACCACTTTTTAATAAACAACAAAAGTTTTAAATACCTGCAGAAATTATATTATATATTATCAACTTAACAAAAAGTGTTGCTGTTCTTAAAACAATTATTTGTTAATTTCAATTTGTAGTTTAATGTTAAAGTTTAGTTATTGATTAATATTTAATCAACGTAAAAATATTATCGAACTAATTGCATTATTCAAAAGTAATTGAAAACTTTGTAACGTCGAAATTTTTTGCTGCAAATAGAAAATAATTAAACTTTTTTCAAAGAGTTTCGCGTTGGCGTGACCCAAAATGAAAAATAATTACTTTCTGTTCGTTATCAATGGAGTTTGTCTCGAGAGCGGGTACTGAACATCTGGAAAAGTTATTCTTATCTATATTTATCTTCATTAATTTTTAAGTTTTTTTTTAGAAATAATTTCATTTGATTTCAGTTTTATTTTTCCAATGTAAATCCCCTTACTGATACAATCTTGGTTTTATCCATTTTCCCGAAGTAAACCCTGTGTCTTTTATCTATAAAATGCTTTCAGCGAATTTAAAGTCAAATTGAAATCGAAAATCACACACAATGCAATGTTTTTATTCCAGGTTTCTTGAATGGCATTTTCCTATTTTCAGAGCGAATCCTTGTAAGTAATCGCCATTGAGTACCTACATGATTAAACCATATAAAGATATAATTCGACACATTGTTTCTTCATAGACCGTTTACCATATTGCTTTTGCATTTAAAAATATACCTATAGGTAATAAAAATAGGTATACCTATTTTTATTAAGAAAATGTAAATTTTGCTCTCTTGAGGATTTTGCGTTTTAACACTACGTTGCAAATTGACTCGCTTTAAGTGTATTGTCAAATATTACACTAAAAGGTAGGTAGTTAAGCAAGATTGAGGCTTTAAATTGGGAGTGACATTATAGACCGTAAGTGTTTTAGAACACCAATTTTATACTACTACCATTTGATTAATTTTTATTTCATAATTATTAATATCGAGGTATTTTATGCCAAGAACCAAAACATTAATACATAAACACAACACAAAAAACTAAATCTATATTATGTTTTTATAAAAAACATTAAAAATTTACCACCTTTAAAACCTTATTACCTTATTATTTTTTATTTTTTTTATTTTTTTTACGGTTTTTTCAGAAAAATGTGTTTAGCTAGCTTAATATGTATATCTCCACTGTGTTACCAATTTGAAATCCAAAATTTAATTCATTAAAAAAAAGTTGTTCTTAAAATAATTTGAAATAAAATGTAATTAGTTCACAAACTTTTGACTCCAATTTTTTGTTTTATTTTTTATTAAAAATTGTATGCTTTTTTTAAATATTTATATTCTTACTTAAAAAAAAACCATTCCGATTCTTTGTTAAAAAAACAATACCATTAATATTTTCTTTTAGTCACTGTATTAGTGAGTTAAACTCTAATTTATAAAAACGTATTACCAAGTGATAGTGTATAAAAATCATTTTAAGTATTTTTTTTAACAAAAACTAAAAAAAGTAACGAAATAGACATTGGTATCACAACGGACTGGGGTACACAAAGGTAATCAGATAACGTAAAAAAGAAACTATATAAGGTGGTACGATTTTAGAGTAATGCATAAACAAAATCCCTTGTAGTGGT